TAAAGATAATTACTGAAGGAAGATACTTTTCTAATGACGTATTTCAATGCAAAAGAAGAACACGTAATGTGAAACACGAAAGTTTGCTGTTATATGCACACACAAAATGTATCCACAATGAAAGTTGCTAAGGTACGAATTAATAATTAACCTAATTGTTCCTCTTTTTTTTTCTAGCTTACCTTAAATGTTGATTTATTGTCTATATATATGCATGTTTGTGTGTACGTATACGTGTATAGTTATAAAACTTACTTAAACATCCATAACGTTAAGGGTTGAGCACACGTCACGATGAACCATTGTCTTATATCGAATTTTGTACTATAGATGAGTAGTGGTCGTTCTAAAAATAACAAAATCAATTTTCCTACAATTAGAAAAAGGTATATTCTTAATTTAAGAAAAAAAAAAAAAAATAATAATTATTATTAAATACCAATATATTTTTGAACGACGTAACGTGCATCTGCTTTGGTCGTGGGATTAACTTTTGCAATGACATGGTCCAGTTTGTTCATCAATACGATACCACGACCACGACTTTTATTTCCTGGTTTTAATATCCAAACGTTCATGATACCATCCATGTCTATCTGTGGCCAATACTTTTTAATTTTTTTTAACAAATGTCGTGCCGCCATGAAGTATTTCTATTTTAAATCATTCGAATGATAACAAATTTGTATAAATTTTTTTTCTTTTCTTTTTTTCTTTTTTTTTTTTTAGATAATGCCAGAAAGAGAGAAGAAACACAATTTCAGCTTACATTAAAAGGTACATTATTGCGAATGAAAAGAGCATCATCTTGAACAATCTTGTAATACCATGCAATAAATTGATCCCATTGATGAGACCAAATCTTTTCGGTTTCCCGATCAATGTCCTCGTGTGATTGTGCACTGATATAATCGCTGCATCTTTTGATTGCAAAGTCAAGAGCTTTCAATGGTATCGTACCTGTTGGTGAACGCGTTGCATTCTCACCTTCTGTATCGATTTTGTCTACCAGCCATTTCAAGAGACTGAGACAAGCTGTAAATCTGATCGGAAATTAAGCATTTTTGTTAAACTTCCTTTTTATTTTTTTTTTTAAATATTTCATTTCTTCACATTTTTGTTTTCTTATCATTCAAAATTCTAATCAAATTAATGGGTAATAATATTATTGAATTCTTACCGAAAATCTTCAATAAATGCGTGCATCTGATCACCTTGACATAAATTATAACAACGTGGAAATAAGGTGTTAGCAACACCAGCTTCGTAATACCAATGCATCTGTCTGACGTTTGAACATAGTCCAATCTAAAAATTCAAATATTTATAAATTGATCTCTAATGTTTCCTTTTAATAACTCTGTGCGGTACAGAATTTTAGATAATAAAATATTCCTATGTTGTACGTTTTAAATGAAATAAAATTGGTATATATTTTTTATGAACACTTAGCCGACCACATGTGCTGCAAACCGAACTGTACGGTTTCCTCCCACCATGGGGAGGTTTCGCAAGTGACGTGGGACTGATATTCGGTTTATAATTTTAACATCATAAATTAAGGCAACTATGTAAATTAATTAAAGAAGAAAAAGAAACGTGTTGTGTGCTAAAAATCAATATGGGAGATCTCCCCGATCGGTCGCATGCACCACCGATTTACATTGAAACTGAGAGATCTCTCCGATCAGTTAGCTAAGTGTTAATAAAGGTATAAGATAATGTAAAAACATTAATAACCGAGTATGTGTAGCTATTGCAATAATATTACGAGGTGGGACTAAAAACGTCCCACCGTGCATTGCATTACGGTATATCAAAAAGGTGGGGAAACTTTTAATCCCCCCATCGTGTCCCAAAGAGTTGATATAATTAATTTGTATTTTCTGCTAGTCACATTAATAATATTTACCAAAAAAATGGATAGTCACCTTAGAAGTAAAACCAGCTCGATAATATCTATTGAACACCGTAGTTTTATTTTCTTGCGAAGGCCAACCAGGCCATTCCGATCCTGTGTTCCATAGAAAATCAACGGTGTGATTACTCAGCATTCTTGATATTAATTGTCGTTCATTTTGTTGATCTTTTAAGTCATCCAAACCCCTCAATAATATTACTGGATTAGATTCGACGTTCAAATATTGTTCGACTAAAAAATCCCATTGAAAAAAAACCAAAATTAAAAGAATATTTAATTACAAAAATTATATTAACTATTACTGATGAATTACCATTGGAGTTTCTTCTGAACAATTTTTCGCACCATCCTCTTTTCAGTAAAGCTTCACGAATCACTTTGGCTCTTCCGTATATCATAAAAGTGTGATGAGCATTAATAGCATCCTTTACTTTTTGTTTAATATGTAAAAATCTTTCTTGAAGTGTTGGTGATAATTCCGTTGATAATTCAGACTGCAAAACTTCACCAGGGGATTCTGGTAAAGTCAAATAAAAAAAGAAAATATATATGTACATACATTAATATTTCATTCTGATATTAAGTAATTAATATTTTTGATACAGAATATTAAAACAAAAAGTTCAAGATGGTATTCTATTTGACTAAACATTTTCTTACTATAATTTAAATGATAATCATATTATTTTTAAATCTTGAAATTCTTTTCTTTTTTTAAATATCCTTTATAAAAACTAAATATGTGTAATGAAAAAGAAACCTTCTGTGGGTTTTTCCTTATCTTTATTATCGTCATGATGAATCTCTGGTTCGTCTTCAAGCTTTACGACAGGAGAATGATCAATGTTATCCGTATGTTTTATTTCTGTTTTTTCTTCACCGAATTTCCAGAAACTCGGCGGTGCATCGTTGATGGCATTCATGTAGCGCACCTGTTAACCGGCGAAATATTCTGCTCGGTTACGTTTAGTTAATTTTCAAGAGTTTCGCTTCATCCCTACGAAGAACCACCTCAACAAGATCGTCGTTGTTACAGCCTGGAACACCTTGGTAAATTTCACAACGATGTTATAATTATTTTTCAAATGAATAAATTTAAAGAAAAAATGATGGTGTGCGTTGAAAAATAACAAAATACACATTCGTTTAGTGATACCTGTTGAACGTATAATAACACAAGAACATTATTTCGAACACGAGTGGCATAAATGTTATATGAAAAAATCCTAATCAAAATATTTCTTATCCGTCATTCACTTTCACAAGAAAAATAAACGAAGATAGTAAGAAAGTCCGACCTGGTCGACAACCAGGTCAGGACTAAACCTTCTTCATGAAGGTATATACAAGTTACGTGTTAGTAGTGTTTGCAATCAGAAATTCCGTAGGCGCGTGACTCAGAAACATTTTAAAGCTCAGGGACGTTCGTTAGAGATTAGTAAAAGCTTCTTTTTGTTGTTTTATTTTCTATTTCGATAGGATCGCACCATTTGATTATAAACGATATCATTAATATATTTTTGTCATCTAATTTAAATTCATCCAATTATTGTTAGAATTATTATGACTTAAAGATGTACAAGCATAAAGAGCAATCTATTTTTAGATGAAACGATAAAAGTTGCTCAAGGTATTGTGTAAAGTGGTTAGAAATTATTTGAGGAAATATGCGGAAAGAGGAAAACGGCCCTGCGTGCAAGAGGCTTGTCTAGATGGTGGTTGATTACGAGCAGCGTACCAGGCACCTCCTACGGTTCCTTCTTTCGGTCTCAGCTTTCTACCCTAACACATACTATTCTACCAAATATAGGTAAAGAAGTCAAAGCGATCGCGTGGTTAATCGGATCACTTTCATATAGTGAACCTTTCATGTTCTTTGACCCACTTGCACAAGTGCATCTCTGATCCACCCTAAAAAGCCTATCAGATTCGAGTAGAATCCGATACGTATGTTTTATTACCTATGATCGAACGATTTGGATTTTTTACATTGATAACTTAAATAAAGTATATCAAAATATTAATTTCCTACCAAGGAATAAAAAAAAAAAGTTTATTCAATTTATCTTTCGATGTTTTTAATATAGAAGATTGACCCGTATTCTTATCGTTATCGTTCGATACCAATTAAAAGATCGTTTAATTTCACACGTAACTCTACAAGAGATAGAAAGAAAGAGATTACAAATTTATTTTCTCGATTGATTCAATCATATCTTTTAATATTAAAGTCTCGTGTTACGTTGAACGATCGTTTAATCTTACTGACGAAATAAAAAAGTATGCTCGTCTTTAACGAGTTAATATTTACACGTCAAATTTTTCTTGGATTTGATCTGTTTATACTTACCATTAGAGATAAAGGATCTGACTTACGTCACTCAAGTTCATCAGAATAAATATTTTATTTATATGTGTGTTAGGAAAAACGTTTCATGCAGATATTGTTAAATTTAGCTTATGAAAAGAGAAGATGATATTTTGGATATACTAGAATGTTTGATAAGATTAAATATTGGTTATCTAAAGGATTAATGACAAATGATAAACATGACACTGTCGTTGGTAGAACTTATTTGAACAAAGTACGGTCAAAATAGATAGAAATATTATATGATCGATTATCGTGAAATGCGATAAATTTGAAATCTCGCGCTTATCAAAAACGGCGAAGTGCGCATGCGCCAATCGCTTGGTAATAAAGTTACTCGATCGGTAAGACGTTAATGTCAATGTCGAAGTAACTGATTCACAATCAGTAGTTTAAAAGTGCATACATAAACTTTTGTATCAGAATAAAGGAATGATTCTCCCACTACAGAAGTCAAAAATTATTGTCTTTAATAGTCTACTTTTTTACTTTAAATAGTCGTACGATTGAATCGTTCGTATCGTTCGAATATCGCGGTAGTGTTGTTCAGTCAAAATATTGTAAATCATATTAGGAATAAACATATGTATTAAATTAAATGATATAAATTTGGTTAAGTGATTTGTGTGAATAGTGTAAATAATAAGATAGAATTGTACTTAATTTATATTACAACAATATATTAATACACATATATATTTTGACAGCATGTCTACTATAATAAAAAATTTATCATTATACTTTTTTACAAAAAAATGTGTCAAAGTATATTTCGAAAATTTGGATTTTTTACATGGTAAAGAATTTATTTATATTTATTATTATTATAATTTGAAAATTGTATCATCAAATCTATGTTAAAAATAATTCATTTGATTGAAGTTACTTTTACTATATACACAATGCTTCTCAACCACGTGGATTAATTTGATTGACATATATATGACAAAACAATTTTGATTTTGGAATATTTTATTTTATATTTAATTATTATATATTCTTATGTTTATGACTTATATAATGAAGTATGCTAATCGAAATATTATCAACGACATTCTATTTTTTCTTGACACTAAATTTGAAATTGATCAATCTTTATGACTTGCAATAAAAATAAATTGCTTATAAATTGAATATGGATTATATATATAATAAATGTTTACCAATACAACTAAATCATGAAATTTTGGAAAATGTTTCAGCTGAATGTTTCAAAGCAACACTGAGTAAAATCTTAGGACTTGGCATCATCGCTGGATCATTATTGGGTTAGAAAATTATTCTCTTAATTATAATAGTAGTCTACTGTGGATCTAGTTGAAACAGTGACGTTATTATTTGTGCTTATCTAATTCAAATATAAATGTCCTTCATTATGAATGCATGTATTCTGCATGCTTTTTTAAATCATTCCATAAAGTACGTTTAAGAGTATTTATAATTAATTATAAATAATTATAAATATAATACTAAGTAAAATAATGTATTAATTATTTTATAGTTAAAGTGCCACAAATTGTTAAAATTTTTCAAAATAAAGATAGCAAGGGTATCAATATTTATAGCGTATTGATGGATTTATTTGCTATCACTGCTATGACATCTTACAGTTTTGTAAGTGGTTTTCCTTTTAGGTAAGTAACATTTTAATATTACCAATGACTATTAATTCATTTATGTATATGATATTATATATATATTTATTTTATTTACAGTTCCTGGGGAGATGGAGTGTCATTGGGTATACAGACATTAATAATTGCGATATTGGTTTTCCATTATAATGGAGATTCTGCAAAAGCAACAGCTTTTTTAGCAGGTTACATGGCCATACTTACCGCTGTTGTAAGCGGTTTAGCTCCAATTAATTTACTTTGGACTTGTCAAGCAATGAATATTCCTATTATTCTCATTAGCAAGGTAATTTGATTCATTAAACTAACTTAAATATCTTTGTGATATATTAAATATTATTATGTTTTATTCTAGTTTATACAAGCTTATACAAATTATTCTAATGGAAGTACTGGTCAATTATCGGCGATAACAGGTTTTATGCTTTTCTTTGGTTCATTAGCAAGAATATTTACTTCCATTCAAGAAACTGGAGATATGACTATGATAGTTATGTACTTGTGTTCGACTGCTGCAAATGCTATTATTGCTGCACAAATTCTTTATTATTGGAACGTTGGTACTGTAACTTCTAAGAAAAAAGATGAAGCTAAGAAAAAGGCCTAAGAAACAAAACAAAAAATTAAGTTATCAATAAAATATCATGTAAGATTTAATAGTAATGGAAATATGATGTTATATTTTTTTATACACATTTGTATACATCTTTCTGCTACTTATATTCATTATATTATTTAGAACATTTTATTCAGCTATTGATCATTTAATAATTAGACGTTCTACATTAGATATTGAAATTAGTTTAATTTCAAAATTTTTATTATTCATATTGTTATTATTATTATTATTATTATTATCATGAAGTTGTTACATAACATACAATATAATATATATTGTTTTATTTGTAAGTTGTTTTTAATTATATAATGATTCATTATAAAAAAAAAAAAATATTTTATCTAATTATAATTATTTGTTATTAATTATACATATCAATTTTAAACAACCCGCTTATTATTTCTATCGTCGTATTAGTAGCATTACTTGCAAAAGATAATCGATAATTAAAAAACATGCTATCGCTGACTCACGCTTTACGCTATTGGTTGTTTTGAACCGGAAGTTAAGAAATGGCCCTTAATCAGTGAATCCATATAAACTTGTTTATTACTTGTATAATTTGAAATTTTAAATATGAAATAATAACAGCTAAAATTGAATGTTCTAATAATAAATAAAAAATTTCTCATTCAAAATATATATCATTTGTTAACATATTTAATTATTTAAACTTTTTATTAATATAAACATTTGTTTTGATTAAACCTTTAACTATGAAAACGTCTGTATATAGCAACCAATCAGCATCGATTTTATTACAGAGTGCATTTCTTATTGGTCAGTATTCTAAAGGGCTAATGCGCTTGCGTCAAACCCCCCCCCCCTCCAGCCCTCCGAACCGTTTTCCTGTTTCCTGTAGCTGGATGAGTCGTACAATGTACGTTATACCGATCGAAAGCAGTTGTTTTATCAACGACGATGCAGCTTAGTGGACCGTGATATTTTGAGAAATTTCATAGTCAGATCGTCGGAACATAATTCTCGAGCAACGGTGAGTAACATTTCAGATTTTGTTTAGACGAAAAAATGGGTCTTCTGGTCCCATGTGACGAAAATTAACGGGCGTGGACAATCGTTGGGAAAAGATGGCCTATTGGAGCGTCATGGCGTCATCGCCCCTTTGCAGTCCGGCTTCCCCCGACGACCATCTTGTTATCGATAAATCAATATAACGCGCCTTTATCCTATGTATGTAGGCGTCTTATGCGACATAGTACTATAAAAGTACAATAGCAAATGTTAGACGCATTTAAACATTGTTCAAGTTTTCGTCTAAAAGGCAACAAAAAAAAAAAAAAAAAGTATGAGAAAAAATATAAATATATATATGTATATATAAAATCATCTATACACAGGTAAATCGACCTTCGGCACCCGGTTTATTAAACATTCGCTTTGTCTGACGGGTAATAATGATATACATACGCAGAATAGCGTTCAATTTGGAGACCTTGGTTTAACGATATAATCAGTCTATATATTACATGAGCATGAATATATTTTCATATAGAAAAATGCAAAGTGGAATTGTATTATGATTTATGGATATTCAGTCGGTGGGAACCGAGATTATTACGTGCACGTGTCCTTGGTTTAATGGACTGTGCCATGTGGTGATTTTTATTGAATAGAGTGCCTACATGCTTTTGGATCTCATAGCAACAATCAATTAAAGGCAGACGCATGTTGACATTTTTTAAGATATACCACAAATTGGTCCTTTTATTAGGATTTAAAAAGAGACAAGAAGAATCATGCGAATCTACGGATTTTCACAGTCTTACAGGTTAGGTTGCTCTATTTCCTGAGTCAAAATGGAATCAATGGACGCGCGTCTTGTTGCGCAAGCATTGAACTACCATGGTCAGCAGTTGCAGAAAGTGTGGGAAGGAGAACGCAATGAGAATGAGTTGGCCATGCTCAATCTCAAGGAACCCAGTTTTGAAATTTATCAACAACGTCAAAAAACACTTAGGTATTTAACTATGTTATTTATAAACTTATTATCCATGTTATTTATTTGTTGATAGTGTGTAACATTGATGTATGATTGCATAATAATGTGAAATAAAAAAAAGTTGTATTATTTTACATATATATAGTTTTGGAGATAGAGGAAAAAGACTGAAGCTTCAGCAATTCCTCGCTAAGAAAGCAGATGCTCTTTATGATAAAGCAAATCTTGAGAAGACAGTTGAACCTCTCAAACAAGAATTGGGTGATGAAGGTAAAAATATTCTTTTTCAGCTTTGATCGTTTTTTTTTTTTTGTACATTTAAATTATTATTATTATTATATCTTTTCTTTACGAGGATAATAAAATATTCTTCGTATTTAGAATTTTATGCAACAATGCCTGGTCTCGATACTTTTGTCACTATGGAAAAATCACAACGCATTAGAAACTTCTTGGAAGTAAGTATCTCTTTCTCAAACAATTTATTTACTTCATAGTTAATAAACCTAATCTCTCATTGCTAATCTATACAAATTTCATTTACAGAGTTTAATTGTTGGTGATGTAATTTATGCACAAGTTATGGGTAAAAGTGCACCTGGACTTCTACTGAAGGTTCTTTGCAACTGTTCTGACTGTCCTCGAGTTGTTACTGAGTTAGGAATAAAGGTATATTATTTTTAATATTCAACATATAATTATTGTTTCATTGTATGCGGTATCTCAAGTGTATCTTATATAATTCTTAGTTAATTACACAAGAGATACAAGTATTATTAAATAATTACATTAGTAAGAAGAAGATGTAAGGAAATATTTTATAATTTGTCCGATACATCCTTTTTGCTAAATAAATGATTAATATTATTATTGTGAATAGATATTAATTTGATTTTTGTGTGTTATGCTAATAGGTTCTAATATTGAATACGGCCACTGTGCCAGCAGTGGACAAGAAAGGTGTTACAAGAGGCTACATGGCTAATGATCTGGTCTGCGTCGTAGTCACTGAAGTTAACGTTGAAGCGGAACGAGTCGTTGCAGTAATGAACACACCTGCCCGCGAGGGCCAAGCCCCACATCCACCTACTGGTCTTATTCATTCAGATGATCTCCCAGAAGCTTATAAGTAAGTTGCGAGAAATATAGATAAGTACTTTAGAAACATTTCTTGCATTTACACGCTTCGCTAGTTCTGTTTTAATTAACATGTCTACCACTAAAGGAAAATACACAAGACTAAATAATAATGTCTAACGCGCATCGCACTTAACATTTATATATATATATATTTATATACATATATACGTACATGTCTCTCGCACATCTAAATTTACTATTAGTTTTTTTAGACGATTTTTTTTTTTAAATTTGACAAATCTCTCTGACCTCATTTATGATACGTATCTAAGACAAATTATAATTAAGGAGGCAAGGGTTTTTCTCTGACGTTGTGATAATGATAATAGAACATTCCTTATCACTTTTATGGCTGGTTGCATTTGCATTATGAAAAACGACGTCATATTTCAAAATTGTGTGTTGAACAGGGAACACAGATTTGCGATATTATTTATTATTTTTCTTCTTTTTTTCTCTTCGATTATTATCTCTATTTCTTAATTATCTTTTTTATTTTATTTTTTTAACACGTAAAAAAAAAAAAAGAAAAGAAAAGATAAAGGTAAGAATAACAGTGTGTTGAGCAATCAAAATTGAAATTTAACAGACGCACTGTGATACTAACAAGTCAAGGTAAAATGAGACGTGATTCCTCTTACACATTTTTATGAATTTAGGTGCCAGACACAATGTCGAATATGAAATTATGAATGTCATAAAAAGTTGAATAGTATGATGATGAATTTATAATGCGATACAAATGATTCAAACCTTGAGCATTGGTTGACATGGCTCTATTGTGCACATATTGTATCTACGTTTGTGATATGTTACTCTCAAAGCACCAGCCAAACTATGGCGCCAAATGAGATCTATGTCTTTTGAGGTTGAATTTCCAGTTTAAGATGTTTGAACCTTGAACGATCAAAGTGTGGGTGCTGCAGACGGTAGGTATAATAATGATTTACTGTTGTTTGGTCTCTTATCAGATCATATAATGTTAACTGAATTCTAATTTTCTTTGATACAGGACATGGATATTTTTTTTTTTTTTTTTTTTTTGAAACATGTTAATAGAAAATAGAAATATATTTAAATTAGAATAAAATCTTAGACAATTATATTATTTTTAATATATATATATATATATAGATTATAGTTTTCTTTCTTAGAGATATTAATATTAGTTATCGATTAAATAAATCATATGTGGTTTAGCTGTGAAATGAAAAGCAGAGACCAAACAACCCAAATCTTAAACACCCCATCCAATACCTTTAAGCCTCAAAAGAATCGCGCCTTGTCATAATAATGCCTCATTTAAACTTACAGCTTATATTGACAAATAAAAAAAAAATGATGTCATATTCAAATTGACTCAACAAAATGCAAACAGGCGACAGTACTACTACTACTCTACTACTTCTACTACTTCTACTACCGCTACCGCTACTGCGTCTAGAAAAAAAAAAAAAACACTTTTTTTGGTCGACTTGGAAGATAATAATATACTCAGGCGTTGGCTCCCGACCTATCCTAGGGCTATGCAATTTATTTTATCGCACCAAAAACTTATGTAACCATCGTCGATTGATGATCGATAGGTTGTGTGCTTTTGTGTTGAGACAATCTCTGAATTACAAACATGATACAAAAATCTAGAAATATACGTCTTAGCGGTACATGAAAGGTGAGAGACGAGTTTACATAATAATGAGGTTGTGTACCATTTTAAATTTATAATTATCAAACTATATGGTAATAAAGGAATTTTACCGACCTTCTGCACCGCATCCCATGTCTTGGACCCCTGCTGCTTGTTAACGGTATAAACATAGATTGTGAACGATTCTAATACCAGAAGATGTAAATGTCTTATTTCTTCGTTACTTTAAGAAGAACAAGAAAGAGAGACAGAGAGGGAGAGAAAGAGAGAGAGAGAGAGAGAGAGAGAGAGAATGAAAAAGCGAGTGTAGGAGAGAGAGCAGGAATTATAAATTTAAAAAAAAAAAAAAAAAAAAAAAAAATAAAAAAGGAAAAAAAAGCATCTTTGGCATTAGTGTCGTATCTTTGAATAATTCATGCAGATCGAAAAGAAGAATCAACGTTTCGCAGGAATGGATGGACCATATATTCTTGTACTAAAAGCTTTTCAAGAAGACGACCAAAGAAGCATATGCATACATATATTTTTATATTGTAGATATATCTATATATATATATAATACATACATAAATATATAATTATACAAGACGAGATGTCAGAAAATTGAAAATAAGCAAATAATTATATCTACACAGCTTATGATATTAATTTTATTGATTAAGGAGTGTGAAGATGATTCGGTCATCATGATTATGAAGTCTTTAGTTTTACCGTTAACGAAGTAGCTTTGGTTTCTTCTGTGCCAGTGGTCAGGACGATCTTTGCAAGTGAATAATGTATTATTTTTTTTCTTATGTGGTGTAGGAAAGCAATGGACAACAAAAGTCTGACTTATGAAACGCTCTTGGAGAGTAGTACTGGCTTCAACAACCCAAACAACATTAAATATCTTTGTGACTTGATGGGTCTGGGTCAAGAGAATCATTCTAATATGGTTGGCCTAAGGTACGATATAATTGAAGAATTTCATATATTGAAATATATTAATGAGATATATATATATATATTTTCATTTATCGTAATTCGTTTGTTAAACATTTTTAGGGAACGTTTTCCTCCCAATGAGTATGCATCAGAATTGAGACAAGCGCAAGCAAGCAAGTGGGCATTCCGAAGTGTTGCTGATGGAATAGATCACTTCAAAGCTGGCCGCCATACCGAAGCTTTTCAATGTCTTAATAAAGCGCTTCAAGTTGATCCTAGAAATGTCGAAGGATTAGTTGCAAGAGGAGCATTGTAAGTTTATATTTCAATATTATTTCATTAATTAATCATATATTATTTAACAAATTTGACATTACTCATGACTATTGTTTTCATTTCTTTTTATTTATAGATATGCCAACAGTGGTAGTTTCAAAAAAGCGATCGACGATTTTGAAACTGCACTGAAACTTAATCAAACGCATGCAAACGCTCGTAAATACATGGCCGAAACTCTTGTAGCACTTGGACGTAGTTACGAAGATGAAAAGAAATACGACGAAGCACAGAAAGCTTATGAAAATTGTTTATCTATTGCACCATATCACGAAGAAGCACGTAATTCTATCGAGTACATCAAATCAAAGACATTGACGTCTTCTTTGAATCCTCTTGATACGTTTAAAAGCTTCGAAACTGAAAATGATGTTGGTGATAATAAAAAAGAGAAAAAGAAACGTAAGAAAGAGAGAAAATCTCGATCGAAAAAGAGACAAAGGTGGAGCTCCAGTTCTAGTTCTTCATCGAGTGGATCATCGAGTACATCTAGTTCAGACTCTAGCAGTTCTTCGTCGTCAGGAAGTTCGCGTTCTGCATCTCGTTCACCGAGCAGAAAAAGGAAACATAAGAAAGATCATCGTGGATCACTATCACCTCTTAGCAAGCGTATGGCTCAGTACAACAATCCTCCAGCTGCCACTACCGCTTCTCATGATGTTATTTCACCAGTTTCTTATAATGCTAATACGCGCGAAAAAATGGACGATTATGAAATTAAAGTGCGAAAGTTTTTGGAACAAACCAAGGATGATTCAGATTATGAGGATAAGGTGAGCATTGTTACAAAATGAATATTTTATCAATGTAATTTACGAACGAACTTATCACTAATTAATGTGTACGCGTAATTCGTTTCATTTCAGGTAAGGAAGTTCTTGGAAGAGACTGCAAGATGGAAAAGAGAAAGAGAAAAGGAAAAGAAAGAAAAAAGGATTTCTTTCCACTCAGAAAGTGAAAAAATGAAGAAAAAGAAGAAAAAAGAGAAGAAAGGAAAGGATAAGGAGAAAGAAGACAAGAAGAGCCGTAAGAAGAAGAAGAAAGAGGAAAGAAAGAAGCGTAAAAACAAGGATAAACTTGAAAGAGATTTGGAAGCATTGAAAAAGTCATCTTTACCAGATCTGGAACAGCTTGAATCTAAACTAAATGCTTATTATGCGAAGGTTGAAAAAGAAACAGCGGTCCTAAAAAGGTTGGATTCATAAACAATATTTAGGTAGAAATAACATTCGAGACATTTTACATTTTGTTTATTTTTAGATTTCTCGATTTATCATTCCAATAGTTATAGTCGACAGTTAAAAGAATGCTAAGTACTGATTGAGTTCAATTATTACGTTCATTTCAATTGTGGTCTTTTCTGTTGGCATCGACTCTCGGAAGTTGTTTTTATCCTAAGATATCGCATTCTACTTATGTTTTTATATTTACTAGGTATGTAGCACAGTATAATGACATACCTTCCCCTCTTAGCAACGCGGAGAAGCTCGCGGAGAGCTCACGTAGGGAGGAGGAGCTACGTAGAGAGAGGGAAAGGGAGAGAGATGAAGCATCTAAGGCGTATCATGAACGAGAACCCAGAATACCAATGACGGCGCAACAACGTAAAGGTTTGTTCTTCAAATTTCAATATTCCTTATCATTCTATTACATAAGCCAGCACAATTTGTCGTATTAGTTCTTTTATTTTTTGTATTTTGATTCACTACGTGTTGTATAAGATATTTATTTTTGTTCTTTTTTTTTTTCTTATAGAAATCCAGAGGAAGCCATTAACTGACATTTTCGAACAAGAGTCGCAGTTGATCCATCCTGAACCCAAAGTACCTACTCTAGATCCATCTGCATTAAACGCGAAATGGAAGACTGCTCAAGCTGCCAGGTAAAATTTCACATCTATTATTGTAAAATTATTTCGTGAAAGGAAAAAATTTGTATACGGAATGTATAATGAAAATATATGAAATGTTTATGTTTACAGTGACGAAGATGACGATAACGAGTTGGAAGAGAAACTCCAACGAGCAGCTTTAGAAAAGTCACTGAATATTCGTAAACAGATGCAACGTGAATTAGCAGAAAAGAGAGCAGCAGCCGCACAACCGATGTCTGCCCCAACACCGCCGCCGCCATTGCCTAAGGAGCCTCCTATGCCAAAACAAGCGCCAGTTAAATATCCAACTCCACAACCGCAAAACAAGTTCCAATCGTACAAAGATCAAAATATATCTGTACCTCAAGGTACACCGAATAAGTTCAGTTCTGGTAGCAATCTCGGTGGTAAATTCCAACCGATTGGTCAATGTCCTGGAAGCGGAGGTGGCCACCCACCGGAACCTCCGCGTCCACCGCCACCAACGAAGAATCAGAATCAGGCTAAAGGTCCAAGAACGGATTCTGATAGCGAGACAGATAGACAGCATAGACAGACGCCTAAGAAACGTGAATCGAGTGGTAGAGGAGGCACGATGTCAAAGAGAATGAGCAGAGACAGACCAGGGAAACGTTCTCGAAGCAGATCTCGCAGTGCATCTAGTTCTGGATCCTCTCGATCTCGATCTCCAAGACGAACTCGATCGCGATCGTATTCCAACAGAAGATCGGGAAGTTATGAACGAAAGTACAGTCGTTCGCCATCTGGTACCTACAGTAGATCAAGGTCACGTTCACGATCTAGATCTTATAGTAGAAGTCGCAGTCGCAGTAGGTCAGGCGACAGAGGCTATTACCGAAAGAGACAATTCCGGATGTACAATAATCGTGGCACCTATTACAAGCCACGCTTCCAAGGCTTTAACAATCCGAATCATCGTGGAGGTGGCAATAATTTCCAAAATAGAAATCGATTCTACAATAATCAACATAATAATCGTTTCGGTAACAGACGTGGCGGCGGATTCAACAATCGCGGCGGTGGGCGTGGACGTGGTGGCAACCGTGGTGGTAGATTCTTCCACGGTAAGCAGGGCTTCCGCGATTTCAGGGACAGGCGAGACTTTAGAGATCGTCGGGCTGCATCACGCGACAGATACAGCGATCGTAGTTATTCTCCCGATCCAATGAGAAAGGTTGATGAAGCCAAAGAGAAAATCAACAAGATGCTGGAAGGTGGCGACGATGTTATGGATCACCAACAAGGAGCCGGAGGATCGAGCGTCCCTCCCAATAAGAGACAAGATGGACCTCTGAGCGAGGGAGAAGAACGCGATGATGATGACTACGAGAGGTGGGGAGAGGGAGAGGGGGGCGACGCGACTAACAAGGTTGGTTAGGTCATCACTACTTCTGTGTCTACTATAAAGGCGTTTCAAAAAGAACAGCCTACCTTCTTCTCTCTTCTTCTTCTTCTTATTGATGACGATAAAATGATAAACTCTGGATGATGATAATAATATCATGATGATGATGATGATGATAATAATGATGATAATGAAGGTCATAATACGGAATAATAAGGATAATAATGATGATGATGATGATGATGATGGCAATGATTGCGATGATGAGCCACACGTGCAAGAGAATACGACCCAGGAGCCAACTAACTCTCCTTTGTTGCCAGAGCGAGGAAGTTGGAGCTGCCGGCGTTAACCTGGAAGGCAAGGAGCACTTCATTGAACGCATGAAGCAGCGAAGCAAGAATGTATTAATGCAGAGAGCCCTTGCAGCTAAGATTTGGTAGATATACACGTGCCCCGTTGCTGACGCTGTTTCTTCTCCTCTTCTTCTTCTTCTTCTACTTCTTCTTCTTCTTCGTCTGTGATATTCTCTCTTTCCTCACGTTGGCTGTGCCTAGTCATCAACGATCGACCAATTACACGTGAGATATAACTCTCTTTTATAATTTTACGTACCTAATAACGTACGGGGTACGTAAATTAATTATCAAAGTTTAATAATATCACTGACGATAATAATTATTATTGACAAATTTATTATAAACTGGCGGCCATTATGATCGTTAAGAATATTTTTTTTCTTTATGTCTATCTATCTTCATCATTGACAACTTCTAGTTTGTTTTCTTTTTCTTTTTTGTTTTCTTTTCTTTTTTTTTTCTTCTTTTTTTTTTTTCTTTGCGGATATATCATTAAATATATGATATCAAAACGTCGTCGTGTGTATAGTTTATTATTATTATTATTATTATTATTATTATTATTATTATTATAATAGTTGATAAAATCTAAGTTTTAATTCAATTTTCTTCATGAAATCATAAGACTTGTTCTTTTATTCGGTTTCATGTAAAAAAAAAATACTACTCTCACAAATTCTATTATTATTATTACTATTATTTATATTATTATTATTATTATTATTATTTTATATCTTGTATATGTAGCGAACGTAATTGCGCTCGATATATCTATCATCTATCTATCTATGTATGTATCTATTCATAATAAAATTAATTATAATATTATTAAATAATAATAACAATAATAATAATAGTAATAATAATGATAATAATAATAACAACGCGAATTCATTCGTACTGAAAATTAGGCAATTCTCGCTACGGTAATAGCTAAGAAGAATACAATAATATATGTATACCACGTTTGTACGAAATTAAAGTCGAAAAATCATTTATTGAAAATGTTTTATCGCGATTTTTTCTTCGTTTTCTTCTTCTTTTAATTTCACGTAGTTCGTAAGATTGTATATGATATATGACACATGATATATGCCGTTTTCTTTTTCGATCACAATGGAAACGTCAAAATAAATTTAAGAAAAAACATGGCTCTGGGTTTGATTCTTATTATCTCGAGTGGCTTTTCATAATATTTAAAAAAAAAAAAGAAATTAATA